TATATATATATATATATATATATATATATATATATATATATATATAATATGTTATAATAATATATTATTGCATATTTTTATTATAACATGTGTTATAATAATCTTTATATTATAGGAAATTCAGGATATCCACAATTACCTTACTTCATGGCACTTAAATTAAGGCAATGTCCAGGTATACCATCAAGTCATCATCAAGATGCTCATATAAGGGCTCAAAGTACCGTAGAACGAGTTTTTAGAATGCTAAAAGGTCGATGGAGATGTCTCAGAAAAGAAAGAGCTTTGCATTACTCGCCAGAATTTGCTGGTAAGAGTTATATATTTGTACAAATATATATATTTTTATATATTTTTATATATTACACTTAAATTATTAAAATATTAATAAATGTTATGATTTCAGCTCTTATTATTAACGCTTGCTGCGTGGTTACAGAATATAGCCAAATTTTATAATGTTCATTAGCCGGAGATTTATTTTGATGAAATAGATAGAGGGCAAAGAAATATAAGAATTAATGACCAAGCAAACAATGTGAATGGCAACGAAATTCGAGAAAATATCATACGCTTACATTTTACTTAAAAAACAAATAAATGGAACGAATTAAATATTTATTTTGTCATAAATTTTTAATACATATATGTGAAATAAAAGTTTATTTTTGAATGGTGTTATTAATTTTTAATAAATAATGAAACAGTGTTTGAGTATTAAAGATAACAGAATTATTTAAAAAAAATACAACTTTCAGAAATTGTCGATAACTTCTTAAAGAACTTTCTACAATAAGTTGTTAGTTATAATAATGTACAATGCATAAGGAAATGACTAGTTAAAATCATTCACTTTATATTCAGGGTAGAAATGAAAAATCTTATAGATTCATTTCCTTATGCGTTATACATTGTTATGATTATCAGCTTATTGTAAAGTCTTTAAAAGATGCACTATCATATATTGAGATATGTTTTGTAGTTATTACTGTTACATATTTGTTACTGCGTGCTGTTATACTTATCACAATATTTTCAGATTAAAGATACTAGATATTGTTTTAAACGTTTTTTACGTTTTTTGCTGCTTCGTAGTAAAGTTTAATATATAAAGTATAAAGTTTAAAGTATAAAGTTTAATATATTTATATAAAGTGAAAATAATAAAATTTTTTTTATGTATTGTTGTTATATATATTTTTATGTTACTAAGCGATTTTCTCTCGTAACTTTAATTAAATATCTCTGAAAACATCGACTATCTATGCTATTTTTTACTACCTATATAATTCAAACTTGTAGGAGTAAAACATGTAGGAGTACAATAGAATTATGTCATTACATCTGTAAAATGTTAAATTGTATTATTTTTTATGCCTCATATTTCTCTATAATACAAACTAACTGATAATTATGTGCAAACATTATATTAAATTAATTAAAAACAAAATATAGAAGTACTGTTCCGGACGGAACGTGTACGGTGGGCGGCCGGGCCCTAGGCACCGCTCGACTCGCAGTCGCCGGCCTCCCGCCGCCAGTTCGCACCGTTACCGCGACGCGGCGACTGCGTCAGCCGGAGCCGTTGCTCGCGGTCAAATTTCGCTTAGGCGCCTATATAAGACACCGCGCGAAACCACTCGAGGCCTTCTTGAGTGTACGTGCACGTTGGGTCATTGTCTCAAAACAGGTATTCTTTTGCACTTCTGCTTTGATCTCCATTGCCTTTAGAGAGTGTCTGAGACACGTTGGCTTTTTTGGTTCGAAGTATTTAGGTAACTTCGCGGATCTCCACCTTCTCGATACGATCGGCGTATGCGAGAAGGGCTCGCGCGATCATTCGGATTACTTCGAAGCCTCCACCGCGGTGGAAGCTTCCATTTGCGATATTTCACGTATTTGCAGATATCGTGCTATCAGTTCGACAGAACGCGGTACTGTTGGGCTCACGACTCCGCGTGAGTCTTAGTTCTCTTCGAGAACTCCGCTGCCAGGGACGCAGCAGCTCTCACGCGAGCCACGCTCGCTATTGCTCCGCTGCCAGGGACGCAGCACTCACGCGAACCCAGTTCGCTGGTAAGTCAAATCAAGACATACGTCGTCGCATCCGCGACTCAACACGCGAGTGACACTCGTTTCTACGTCTCAACGAGAGTTACCGTTAGTCACACATGCGGTATTATCGACGCAAGTCATGGTCACATATAATGATGCATTTTCATGGGCGTCAGTTGACGCTCAAAACGAGCGTCAAGACGCTCGGGTAAGGTTAGATTAGTAGAAATAGCGTCGAGATTTTGACGCTCAATGAAAAAGGTTTTCATGCGTCAGTTTCTGGAATTCGCGTCAAAAAGTAGATACATATAGGCTGCGTTCCTTTATTTACTGCGAGTACTGACGCTATGACGTCATGAAAGTGTACTGCTAGTAGCGTTCCGTTTTAACTTGGAGAACTATTAAGGTGTTGCAAAGTTACAAATCGGAACGAACCACAGTATGCTTCGTGAAGCTTGTGTTTATAGTTAGTGTTTCGGTTTAACCGCCGGCATATTAAGACGTGTCTGAACGTGTCTGAACGTGTCTGAACGTGTCTGAACGTGTTTGAACGTGTTCAGACGTGATTTTTGGAAGTTGCCTTTGGAACCTACCAAGGCCCTACTCATTCATATCTTTTTTCTTAAATTTCCAAATCGTCAAAGCGTGAGATATTTTACCTAAATTCATCTTTTGTTGTCTCTTACATCTACGATCGAAATCTGAAATCTAGCCAAATATCTATTCTACATACGATGGAAGCACTGTTCGGGAGTAATGGCGTAAAGTCACTCACAGGAAAAGTGTGCTCAGCCAAACATTGAAACTGAAATTTATGTTTATAGTTTGCGTGCTCGTGCATTTTACAAACATGAGTGAAAAGTCAAATACTAATATGACTATAATTGCATTAATTGCAAGTAATAGAAGAATACGTAGATGACGAATCAAGCGAAAGCGATTCGGACATAGAAATAGTAAAACAGTTAGTTGTACAATCTCGGGTGCCACGAATAAAGTGCAAAAATTATGTGGAAAATATTGTGACAGCATACACTGATATGGATTTTAAAATGCATTTTCGGTAAGTTATTAAACACAATGTTAAAAACTTAATTGTACATTAAAATCACAATTATATTTCTTAGATTTCTAGATTTATTTGTATTTACAACATATTTTACGAAGTAATGTTTTAAAGACTAAACGTGTATTTATATATATTATTTAGTACATATTAAGTTCTCAAAAGTTAATAATTAAAAATAAAGATCAATTATTACTACATATAGGATGACACGTACTACATTCATATTTTTATTAGAATTATTATCTCCACATTTGAATAAATATTCAGACACATGTGGACGTCTTCCAATATCTCCAGAGAAACAATTATTAGTAGCCATTTGGATGATGGCAACACCTAATTCATATAGGTATTAACTTTTTATTTTATAATTTGTAGTATAATTGTAAAAATCAATATCAAATGTACATATTATTGTATCACTTTTGCAAGTACTTTTTGAAACTACTAATATGACTATAATTGCATTAATTGCAAGTAATAAAAGAATACGTAGATGACGAATCAAGCGAAAGCGATTCGGACATAGAAATAGTAAAACAGTTAGTTATACAATCTCGGGTGCCACGAATAAAGTGCAAAAATTATGTGGAAAATATTGTGACAGCATACACTGATATGGATTTTAAAATGCATTTTCGGTAAGTTATTAAACACAATGTTAAAAACTTAATTGTACATTAAATACAAGTTATTTATGTTGTTAAAAATTGTATATATTGTTGAATATTTATTTACAGATGCATAAGTGATAGATTTGGTATTGGAAAGGCGACAGCTTGGAGAAGCGTACTAAAAGTTGTATCTGGTTTATACTATCATTTACATACATTTATAAAATGGCCATCAGCAGAAGAAGTAAAAGTTACATGGACATATATGAAAAGGAAATATGGATTCCCCAAAGTAATAGGTGCAATTGACGGAACGCATATACGTATTGCAGCTCCACAAATTAATCCTGAGTGCTACGTGAACAGGAAAGGTTACCATTCGCTACAGTTACAGGTACAGAAAGTGTATATTTATTACTAAACACAATATTAGTAATAAATAAATATTAGTAATAAATAAATAAATAAATAAAATATCTTAATCAAGCGACACGGTCGTGTCGCGAAGCCAAGTGCAAGCGCGAAGCATTGGCGGCCTACCGTGTTATATTACGCGACGACTTTAGTTGAATGTAGGTTACATCGTCATTTCGGCTATAACGGCTGAATTGACGAAGTTCTGGAGAGACTTAATCGATTCCTTGGGTTTACATTACTTAATAAAACTGTCTTTACTTTTCTCTACGTGCTCCAGAAGCTGAGCTATTTTAGCTCAAAGTCTGAATTCGTGAATTTACGCGTAAGAAACGTCTCCTCACCACAGAAATGTGCATTGACATAT